AAAAAAAAAAAAAAAAAAAAAAAAAGGAAAACAGTCTTTGCATACCGTGTGGGAGCACAAAGGCTCTCACTTCGTCTTGGAGACTGTGTGGGAGCACAAAGACTCCCACTTCGTTTTGGACAGATGATTGTGGCCGCGAGATCTTGAAATCTCGCGGCCCACAGTTCACACACGGAAAGCAAGAGGGGGTTGAAGTTGAGTGGAGAGTGAGAGAGAAAGAGAAATGGAAGGATGGGGAGAGGAGGACCTGCTCCTCCCAACCTGCCAGCTGCCTCCCCGTTGTTAAGGGGGGTAAGAAGAGAAAAGAAAAGAAGAAAAAGAAAAAGAAAAAGAAAAAGAAAAAGAAAACGAAAAAACGGGATCTGAGTTTTTTTGGGAAACTATATTTTTCAGTTTGCGCCACTATTTTTTTGGTGGCGCAAAATAATTTTGTTGACCTTGATTTTGTTTCTATAGGTAGTCAGGCACGTACGCCATGTGAATGAATTTGTTTAGATTTTTTTATCAAGCGAATATTTTTCTAAAATTCTTCAAAGTCGGGGTGCTTTTTGCACCCCGCTTTGAGGCTGTCGGGATTCGAACTCGTGAATTTTCACGAGTTCTTTCCCTACCTCTCCCAATCTAACAACTGCCATCCCCATTTTCAGGGGAGGGCAGGGGAGAAAAGAAAAGAAGAAGGGGGGGGACTGAGGCAAAACGAGGCTGCTAGAGCAGCAGCAAAAATAAAAGAAATAACGTACCTGGCCATTGTCGGGGTCAGGTTCCCAAACGGTTTGCTGCACTTGGTGCAGCAAACTAGCAAGGGGGCTTGCACCGAATATGGTCAGGGTTGAAGAGAAAAAGAGGGCACCTTTCTTAATTTTTGCTTGAACCTGGCCGCTGTCCGGGCCAGGTTCCCAAGTGGTTCGCTGCACCTTGTGCAGCAAACCGGCTAAGAGCCTGGCTCTGAACTTGGCCAGGTCTAGGAGAAGGTGCACTGCTGAGATTGAACCTCAGCAGTAGCAGACCAACAAGGGTTGTGGCTAAATACAGCCCCCCCTTGCTGGTTTTACAGCAGGAAAAGGRCCAGGTYCTTTTCTTTATGAGTGGACCTGGCCATTTCTGCTGTGTGGGGCTGGTATGTGCCCTTGATCTCACCAAGAGATCAAGGGCCCAGCCTGAGCTCGAATTTTTGGCTGAGAGCAGGCTGCTACCACTACCTCCCACAACTATAAAAGCAGCCAGCAAGCAGCCAGCCAGCAATCATTTGTGGTTGGTGCTGCTAGCAATTCACTTGAGTGAATGCTGGCTTACTGCTGTTGGGAGGAGCTGCTAGTGAGAGGAGGGGGAACTGTTGCTGGTTGAAGAGGAGGTCTGCAGGCGAGGGAGGAAGAGAACTGCTGAAGGTGACCATAGTTGTAGAACACATAGCCGCCATCTCAGCAAGGTAAAGAGAGAGGGAAGCGTTGCAGGTCTGCAGGGAGCATCAGAGTGAGGGCAGTCATAGCTGCCGCTGCAGCTGGTGGAGCGCAGGGGAAACTCTGCCCGTTTTGCACGGCAGCGGCAAGGTTTTTGGCAAGCGGTGCAGGGGAAACTCTGCCTGTCTTGCACGGCGGCGGCGAGTCTTCGGCAAGCGGTGCAAGGGAAACTCTGCCTGTTTGGCACGGCAACGGCGGCGCTTTTGACGGTGACGTGAAAGCGCTGCCGATTTTTTTTTCCGGCAGCGGCAGTGCGTTCTAGGTAGTGACGAGGAAGCGATGTCGATTTTTTTGCGGCGGCAGCGCGGGCTTGACGGCGGTGGTGCGGAAGCGCTGCCAATTTTTTTTGCAGCGGCAGCGCTGAGATTTTGGTGGTGACAGGGAGGTGCTGTCGAAATTTTTCGGCGTCGACATTGTTTTTTTTGGCAGCGACGCGGACGTGCTGCTGAACTTTTGCGGCGGCAGCAGCACGTTCTGGGTGGTGACGTGGAAGCGCTTAGACTGTGAGGGGCATTTTGTGGCAGCATATTCGGGTATTGTTGGCAACGACGTGGTGGTGCGGTTGGTGGCGGCGATGCTGAGACGCCGTCAGATTACTGGGAGGTGGTTGTGTGTTGAGAGGGTGTCGCGGCAAGCGACCGTACTAGGAAGTGGTGTAGATCGTTTTGCGGACGACTTGCTGTGACGATTGTCTTCTCTAGAGTGTGATTTTACACGGTCTTTTTGAGTGGGCCGTCTCTTCAACTTCACTCACGGTCAGTTGTTTGACTTAGACCCCTTCACACCTGTGTGAACCCACACTTGCTTGGCCCTATTCTTTGAATGTTCACTGGATAGGTAGAGAAGATGTGTGTTTGCGTGTGTGAATGAAAGTCTGACGTGAGTGTGAATTGCATTGTTTTCCTTTGAACTTGTTGTTTGATCTGATGTGCAGGTAGGTAGAAGAAAGCTTGAAAACGAGATTGGCCATGTCAATGAAAACGGGGACAGGGTGTTTGTCGTCTATCTCTTGTTTGCATGTTTGTCACAAGAGAGAAAACCAGTTGACGACGATAAAAGGAACGATCACACACACAAAAAAAAGAAACTTAATCGGACATGGACTCGTTCCAKATGWTACCCATTCTTTCCCGAATGACCACCTTTGTCTATGCCCGTCTGTCTGAATGCTTTCCTTCTCTGTGATCTTCTTCTTCGTCTAGGTTCACCTTGACGTCAGGCGGCAAGGGGTTGATCGTCTGCTGTGGTAGAGGCGTTTCCTTTCCCTAGGAGGCATCTAAGGCGGGGGTTCGTTGCCTTAGATGCCGACCTTGTTAACGACTCGGAGTGGACCGCTGAGGCGGGGGGATACCATGCTGTCGTGGTGGAGCCATCCCGACTTGTGAGATCCGAGGTTCACTCGGGCGAGGACGAGGGGTATCCCAGACCACCTCCTAGGGGATGGACATGCGCTATTCACGGAAGACGTTAAGTCGTTGTCGGCTTGCGCTAAGGAGGACCGTCATAGTTTACCCTTTGTGGCCGTCTTAGGAACCACAAACGAATGGAGAACTGACGCCATAAGAAGCCCAGTTCGTGTTTTCACTCGCTATGAACAGAGTGCGACTAGGCACTATCTTAGCGGATAGGGTTGCACCATAAGAAGTGCAAACCTGAGGTGATCAGACTAGTTGACGGGAAGATGTGAATAAAGTATTGTTGTAAATATCTTCATGTCGAAAGCTGGTACTTTGGAACAGAGAGAGTAATTATTGTCCAGGAGGACAGAGCGACCGACAAAGTTTGAAGGTGGATCGCTGACCTTAATGGGGCA